AGAATCAGATAATTTGGCACTTTGTTGACCACAGACACCAAAACCGACTTACCGAATTTCCGCTTAACCAACAACGACGTGTTACCTTTCCCCTCGTAGCGTGTAAACGTTTTATTTATATCAATATTAACGATTTTATTTTCAAACACTTCTAGGCACGTCCACTACACCAGCGGCGGCTAATGGGGTCAGGCCCGACGAGATTCCGAAGGCTGTACGCATCGCCGTCGTTCCCAAGGCCGTACCTTCCTCCCTACACAGAAGCAGTTCCATTCCAGCCGTTCAGACGTCGACGACTCCCAATATCGTTCGTACTCCCTCAGTGTCTGGAGTAGTAGTCAGCGATTCAGTCACTGCAACTACTACCAATGGCGCATCATCACCCTTACCAACCCGGCCCAATCCTCTTTCATCCCCAAAGGTGAGTCGAAAAACGCGGACCTCGGTCATACGTTATTGGTCTACGGGGAGCGCAATCTTGTGTCTTCCTCCTCGGTGTTGGTATTATCATTTCGCTACCACAACATTAGTCCACTTCTACTTTCATAAACGATTCCTGTTATGTAAACGTACAGACAAACAGACCTCGCAAGTTTGGGGCTTAAGAAATTTGGCAGTGCTACCAACAGTGCGTGTCGGTAAATAGTATGCCATTAGTCCTCGTCTGCAAAGTCTTCGCAAACTGCCTTCCTTCATACTAATTGATCATCTGCCGGCAAGTTCAAGTTTTCAGTAATGTGGAGGAGTCATGATCCTACCTCCCTTTAGTGGCGTCTTTGAAGTTGGAGTATGTGCGGAGGTTTTTAAACTTAAGTTTCATCGGTCCCACACCCCATGAGCAATGGATTATATCGTTCGGCCTTGGGGTTTCTAACGAAGTGATTTGTTTCGACTGTATTGCCGTTAGAAAACTACCTTAACACTATTGCGACGTTTTTTTTAAATCAAAACTTTGTTGACAGTTTGTGTTTATTCCTCCTCTAAGGATTGTCGTTTACGTGCAGCGACAGAGTACATTAAAGACTGTTATTAGTTCTCTTGCTTTCATTTTGGCGCCGGGGTACGATATATAT